GCTGAAGTCGGATGCTTAATTGACTGAGCCACCCAGGTGCCCCTAATAGTCTTAATTCAATCAATATTTTCCCTACATCTTTTTCTTAATACCTAACTTGATGGCTCTAGTAAAATAAGTGATCTTTGTCCTCTGGGAGGTTTCCAGTTTTTCAGTTCAGAACTCTGTAGCAAATGGAAAGTGTGATGAAACTGCTGTAGGATATTTTTTAAAAAGTTGGGTACTTCTGTTGACCTACATTTTTATTTTTTGGTTTTCCTGCAGTTCATTTGGAATTGAACATTGTTTATATTTGTTATACTGCTTTAAGTTTACTGTTTTTTGCCTTTTATTGAGCTACAACTTTTGTAGGTGGCATTCCTAGTTCATTTGTTTGGCTTGTCTTTAATTCCAGATGTTTCCAAATATTTATATAGAAATAAATTATTGAGACCCAGATTGCCATGTCTGAATAATAATTAATGTGACTAATTGTGATTACATTCGCTCAAATTTATCCAATACTGCATATTCTGCTGCGAGTATATTAATGACATATTAAGAGACATGATCTGTAAGCTCAACAGATAATTATAAAAATAGTGAGGGCTTATCTGAAATTAATAGAGTTCATCATTTCTTTTATTTGTTTTTCTTTTTTAAGGTGTCTGAGTCCAGTGGAGAATTTTTTTTTAAGTCATCTGAGCTATTTGAGAGTCCAGTCTATTTGGAGGAAGCTGCAGATGTACTTTGTATTTTACAAGCAGGTAATGACTGCTAAGATACATTACAAATATAGTTTCTTGTTATATGATACTGTGTAACTTCTTAACTTTGAATATTGTGTTATTTTGCATATTTTATAAAAATATACCTTAAAACGTTAAGATAAAAATGGCTAATAATAGGACAATGATTTAGTAAATTATATTATTTCCATAGTATGACATGTTATGCAGCCATTAACAGAGTGTATTTGAAGAAATTTAATGATTTTTGAAGATTGTCATAATATGTAAGTGAAAAAAGCAAAGGGTAAATTGATAAGTGGAATATAAAAAACTAAAAGTTAAGACAATGCCTGTGGGAGGATTAAAATATTTCAGTTTTCTAATTTTGAATGGGATTAAAAAGGTGGAGGACATAAAAATGCAAAGATTTTCATGCAAGTAACTCTTGACCAACACTGCCGACTGTAGCAGTGGCATTGTTCTATATTGTGCTTTCTGATACAGTAGCCACTAGTCACATGTAGTTACGGTTTACTGGACATGTAGCCAGTGTAACTGAGCTATTTTTAATTTTATTTAATTTTAATTAATTTAAGCTTATTTATCAATTTATTTGTTTTTGTAAAAGGTTTTATTTTTAAGTACTCTCTCTACCCATTGTGGGCCTCGAATTTACAACCCTGAGATCCAGAGTCTTGTGCTCTATGGACTGCACCAGCCAGGTGCACCAATTAATTTAAATTTAAATAGCCACATGTGGCTGGACAGTTTGTTCTGGACTATGAAAAGAAAATACCTTGGGCACCTGGGTGGCTCAGTCGGTTAAATGGCCGACTTCGGCTCAGGTCATGATCTCGTGGTCTGTGAGTTCGAGCCCCGCGTCGGGCTCTGTGCTGACAGGTCAGAGCCTGGAGCCTGTTTCAGATTCTGTGTCTCCCTCTTGCTGACCCTCCCCTGTTCATGCTCTGTCTCCCTCTGTCTCAAAAATAAATAAAAACGTTAAAAAAAAAATTAAAAAAAAAAAAGAAAGTACCTTAATTTATTGCTTTTTCCCCCTAAAGTTATTGCTCTCTTTTTTTTTTTTTAATGTTTATTTATTTTTGAAGGAGAGAGAGACAGTGTGAGTGGTGGAGGGGCAGAGAGAGAGGGAGACACAGAATCTGAAGCAGGCTCCAGGCTGGGAGCTGTCAGCACAGAGCCCACTGCAGGGCTCGAACTCATGAACTGTGAGATCATGATCTGAGCCAAAGTCAGACGCTCAACCAACTGAGCAACTAAGGCGCCCCTAAATTTGTTGCTCTTAAATGATGTTTGTGAAATATCACTCCTTAGTAACATTGATTTTGTTTTCTTGTAGAGCTCCCTTCTCTGCTTCCTATAGTGGATGTAGCTGAAGCTTTGCTACATGTTAGAAATGGTGCTTGGTTCTTATGTCTGTTGGTGGCCAATGTTCCTGATAGTTTTAATGAAGGTAAAACATAATTTTAAAATAGGATATTGAAGAGATTTGCTGGTGTAGGTTCAAGACCTATTTTTTGTGCTACAAAGAAATATTTATGGGCTTTCATTTGAGATTTTATCTCTGGAAAGTTTATTAGTGAGTATTCATTGTAGAAGTATTGGGTTTAGAAGATTTCAAAATTGTTTTGAGATTATCAATTTAAATATGGTAAGTATGCAATAGGGGTGCCTGGGTGGCTCAGTTGGTTAAACATCCAGCTCTTGGCTTCAGCTCAGGTCATGATCTCACGGTTTTGTGTTTGAGCCCTGCATTGGGCTCTGTGTTGACAGTATGGTGCCTGCTCGGGATTCTCTTTCTCCCCCTCTCTCTCTGCCCCTCCCTCATTCACAATGTCTCTGTCTCTCTTGAAATAAACTTAAAAAAAAGAATGCAACCCCAAAATTTTTTTTTTGCCCTTAGTCACCAGTGCAATAATAGGATAGTAAAAAATACTAAAGAACTAGAAGATATAGTCCTATGCTTATGGAGCAATGGGAAGAAGACTTGTCTGTGAATTAGCCAGAATACAATACAAGGCATAAGTAATCAGAAATAGCAGCAATCAAACCCTTTGGTTTTTAGCCTTATTGTTGTCAATTTACAGAAAAGGATAGAGTCAAAACTGAGAAAATCAACTAAAATTTTCACCTCTGTTTCAAACTACTACTGATTGAACATTGTTGTTTGGATCTGTGTGATATTAAAATAAAAACATTCATTGAGCAGGGTTGTGAATTGGGAGCCAAAGAGGAAAAAGCACTGGATCTGGCGGTTGAAATTTCTAGTTTTGTCACTCACTTTTTGTGTATCTCCATCAAGATACTTCCATTCTACAAAATGAGATAGTAATAATAACATTTCCCTTACATTTTTTTTTAATGCTTGTTTATTTTTGAGAGAGCGAGAGACACAAGCAGGGGAGGGGCAGAGAGAGAGGGGGACTGAGGATCCAAAGCCGGCCCTGCACTGACAGCAGGGAGCCTGATGCAGGATGAGATCATGATCTGAGCCAAAGTCAGATGCTTAAGTGACTGAGCCATCCAGGTACCCCTCTCTTACATTTCCAAGAGATTTATTGAATATATCATAAGGTATGTAAAAGTTCTTTGTAAAAACTGTCTTATTGTTGATTTTCTGTCTACATTGTCTATCAGTTACTAAGAGAGGAATGTTGACGTCTCCAAACATAATTGTGGATTTGTCTATGTCTACTTTCATCTTGTTTTTGCTTCACTAATTTTTAAAAAATATTTTATTTTATTTTTTATTTTGAGAGAGAGAAAGTGTGCGCATGCGGGCTGGGGAGGAAGAGAGAGAGAGAGAGAGAATCTTCTTTTTTTTTTTTTTTTTTTTAGAGAGAGAGGGTATAAGTGAGTGAGGGGCAGAGAGAGAGAGAGAATCCCAGGAAGGGCAGAGGCAGAGAGAGAGAAGTGGGTCTCACCCAAAGCAGGTTTTGTGTTCCCCTGAAGCGGGGCTCCAGCTCACCTGAAGTGGGGCATGAGCTTACCCGACATGGGACTTGAACTCATGAACTGTGAGATCATGACCTGAGCTGAAGTCAGATGCTTAAAGACTGAGCCACCCAGGTTCCCGGGAGAGAAAGAATCTTTGAAAAAAAAATTTTTTTTTAATGTTCATTCATTTTTGAGAGACAGAGCATGAGCTGGGAAGGGGCAGAGAGAGAGGGAGACACAGAATCCAAAGCAGGCTCCAGGCTCTGAGCCATCAGAACACAGCCCAATGCGGGGCTCGAACCTGTGAACTGCAAGATCATGACCTAAGCCAAAGTCAGACGCTCAACCAACCGAGCCACCCAGGCACCCCCCGGGAGAGAAAGAATCTTAAGCAGACTCCACACTCAGCGCAGAGCCTGGTGAGGGGCTCAATCTCACCACCCTGGAATCATGATCTGAGATGACATCAAGAATTGGATGCTCAACCAACTGAGCCACCCAGAAGCCCTGCTTCATTAATTCTGAAGCTATGATTGGGTCCATGTACATTTAGGATTGTTATATCATTATGATGAATTAAGCCTTTTTCATTATAAAATATTCTTCTTTATCCTTGGTAATATACCTTCTTTTGAAGTGTACTTCATTAATACAGTCATAGCAGCTTACAATTAGTGTTTGTATGGTATATATCCATCTTTAAAAAAATCTGTATCTTGGGGCACCTGGGTGGCTCAGTCGGTTAAGCGTCCGACTTCTGCTCAGGTCATGATCTCGTGGTTTGTGAGTTCGAGCCCCACGTCAGGCTCTGTGCTGACAGCTCAGAGCCTGGAACCTACTTTGGATTCTGTGTCTCCTTCTCTCTCTGCCCCTTCCTCAATTGTGCTCTGTCTCCCTTTGTCTATCAAAAATAAATGTCTAAAAAAATTTTTTTAAAAATCTGTATCTTTAAGGTGGGTTTCTTATAGACAAGTATAGTTGAATCTTGTTTTTTAAAAAAACTTAGTTGCAGTCTCTGCTTTTGGAGTATTTAGACCATTTATGTAGATCATTCAATGTGATTATTGTGGTAGTTAGATTTAAGTGTATCATCTTGTTATTTGCTTCCTTTTTCTTCTTTTCCTTTCTTCATTTGGATTGAAATTTTTTAGGATTCCATTTAATCTCAACTACTGTCATATTAGCTTTATGTCTTTGCTTAATTATTTTCTTGGCATTTACATTTCTTTATTGTTGGGTTTAAATTTTTTTTTTTTTTT